AATAATACATTATATAATACATAACAAATAAGAAATAGAATAGTCAGCTGTCAATTAAACAAAAAATGAAAAAAGAATCAGAATTTGAATGTTAGATTTCAACTGCTTTTCTCCAGTATGGATAAGATTGTGACTTATTAATTTAGATTCATGCACAAATGTTTTTGAACAAATGTCACATTTTAAATTTTTTCTCCAGTATGAATGATATCGTGTCTTTGTAAATATGATTTTCTTGGAGATGTTTTCTAACAAAAGTCACAGTTCAACTGCTTTTCTCCAGTATGGATGAAATTATGAGATTTCCTTGCAAATGTCTAAACTGCTTTGACTCAAACAGTGGAAACGCTAAATCATAGAAAAATTAAAGATTTTCCAGACTCAAAATGCACTGTTACATATTATTCTGTGTTTATAAAGCTCAACAAAATAATGCTATAAATTTATTATTATATGTTACCATGGGCGTAGTGCTATTTTAGTACGCCAGTAGTACGCCACCACCACAGGAACAAGAGTTGAGTGAATCAAAAAACGAGCATTCGAGGGGGTTTGGGGTTCACCCCAGGAAAATTTTGAAATTTGGTTGTATTTGGAGCAGATTTGCAACTGTTTGGTAGTTGGTACGCCTGTGCGTACCCAGCATACCGGGCGCTATGCCCATGGTTACATGTAATGTATAGCAAAATAAAGAACCTTTCTATCATAATAAATGTGCTTATATATAATATACACAAAATCTGTAGAAAGTGAGAAAGAAACAGAAAATAAACCTTTCATAAACCCTTAATTGGTTATCTAAAAGGTATATGGACAGTTTAATAATTGTCAGATTTATCATCAGTTATGTTGATATTTTGCATATAATATTTTAAATGTGATATACCTAAATAAAGTCCATTTCTTAATTACATATACAAATGCATATACATATATTAATATATAAAAAAAGCAATACAAACAAGTGAGATGGAAACAGGAAATAAACATTATCTACTTTTTTCCTTCTAAAGGACATATAAATTGCTGTATTTATGTACATGTGTTTTACAAAAATCATAACAAGCAGACAAGATACCTATATTTTTCAATTTTAGTTTATTTATTTTCTACATGCTGATTATAGTCTAATCTAGGCCTAAGTGATTTCAACTGCAATAAGAATTCTCAAAAATCTTCCAAAAGTTCTAAAATCTGCAAAAACACATTCAACTGTTTCACACCTTTTGTGGTAAAGGAGTGGTATCGATATGGAGAACTGAATTCAACAATGTTTTTCTCTTAAACCAATCATTGAAAACATTCTGTTAAAACACGGTATTTTATGTTATGTTGACTGATTGACAACAATTTAATGCGAAAATTATTTAGAAATATTTTATATAACTGTTTTTGTTATGTCCCCACCACATAGTGTGGGGCCACCACATAGTGTGGGGCCATATTGTCGGCCTAGGCGCGTCCGTCTGTCCGTCCGTCTGTCTGTCCGTCTGTCTGTCCGTCCGTACGTCCGGCAGTTTTCTCCAAAACCGCTACAGATATCACCTTCAAATTTTCAGGGATAACTTATGAGTGCATACAGATGTGGATGAAAAAAAATTAACTCAATACCTACTTCCTGTCGGCCATTTTGAAGTCAAATGCTAAAATCCTTGTCTGCAAACTTTAAGAAAAATGGCTTCACAGTTGCTTTTAAAACTTTAACATCTTGTTCAGCTCACTTCATTCTAGATCTGATTAGGTTTTGGACCTGTTAGCTCAGTCATGTCAGCCATTTTGAATGTTTTAAGAAAAGTTAGCGCACGATAATACTTTGTATCATATTGAATGGTTTTTTCAGTTTTCATACTTTAACTTTTTAGTAGCTTTATAAATAATTTCAGGTGTACTTTGTTGTAAAAGCTTATGTTATTGTTAACAGTAGTTATATGTGATAATTTTGTAAAAAGATTTCAGCAAAAACTCATAATCACTTTTTTATTGTCGGCCATTTTGGATTTTTCCGTCTTAAAATCTTGTCTGTAAAGACTTGTCTACGCATTTTCAGGCGAACCGTTTGGTAGATCAATTTCAAATTTTCAGGGATGATTCTTAGTAGGAAAATCTAGATCTGATTAGCTTTGGGCATTCTGGGTAAATGTCAAGGCAGCCATTTTGGATTTTCCGTCCTAAAATCTTGTCTGTAAAGTCTTGTCTACGCATTTCCAGGTGAACCGTTTGGCAGATCAATTTCAAATTTTCAGGGATGATTGTTAGTATTAAAATCTAGATCTGATTAGTTTTTGGGCATTCTGGGTAAATGTCAAGGCAGCCATTTTGGATTTTCCGTCCTAAAATCTTGTCTGTAAAGTCTTGTCTACGCATTTTCAGGTGAACTGTTTGGTAGATCAATTTGAAATTTTCAGGGATGATTCTCAGTATGAAAATCTAGATCTGATTATTTTTACGGCATTCTGGATAAATGTCAAGGCAGCCATTTTGGATTTTCCGTCTTAAAATCTTGCCCGTAAAGTCTTGTCTACACGTTTTTAGGTGAACCGTTTGGTAGATCAATTTCAAATTTTCAGGGATGATTCTTAGTATGAAAATCTAGAACTGATTAGTTTTTGGGCATTCTGGGTAAATGTCAAGGCAGCCATTTTGGATTTTCTGTCCTAAAATCTCGTCTGTAAAGTCTTGTCTACACATTTCCAGGTGAACTGTTTGGTAGATCAATTTCAAATTTTCAGGGATGATTCTTAGTATGAAAATCTATAACAGATTAGTTTTTGGCATTCTGGATAAATGTCAAGGCAGCCATTTTGGATTTTCTGTCCTCAAATCGTGTCTGTAAAGTCTTGTTTACATGTTTTCTGGTTAACTGTGTGACGGATCAATTTCAAATTTTCAGGGGTGGTTCTTAGTATGAAAATCTAGAACTGACTAATTTTTGGGCATTCTTGGTAAATTTTAAGGTGGCCATTTTGGATTCTCCGTCCTCAAATTGTGTCGGTAAAGTCTTGTCTACTCATTTTTAGGATAACCATTTGACAGGATCACCCATAGGTGGGGACATATTGTACACATTTGTGTTCTTGTTAACATTTTCTGTTTTTCTAGTGCAATTGTTTTTGCTCCTTTCTACCAATTCTTGAGAATGAAATAAAATGTCTTTCCGAACCTTGTTGGAACAAAATAGCATATACAGCATGTTTTTAGACCTCTCAATATTATAGTTATACAAAGGAATTTTTGGTTGATTTTAAAAAAGTATTCAAAAAATTAAAACAAAATCCCTCCAAAATAGATAAAAACCAAGATAAACCTTTTTATGTCCCCACCACATAGTGTGGGGCCATATTGTCGGCCTAGGCGCGTCCGTCCGTCCGTCTGTCCGTCTGTCCGTCCGTACGTCCGGGAGTTTTCTCCAAAACCGCTACAGATATCACCTTCAAATTTTCAGGGATAACTTATGAGTGCATACAGATGTGGATGAAAAAAAATTAACTCGATACCTACTTCCTGTCGGCCATTTTGAAGTCAAATGCTAAAATCCTTGTCTGCAAACTTTAAGAAAAACGGCTTCACAGTTGCTTTTAAAACTTTAACATCTTGTTCAGCTCACTTCATTCTAGATCTGATTAGGTTTTGGACCTGTTAGCTCAGTCATGTCAGCCATTTTGAATGTCTTAAGAAAAGTTAGCGCACGATAATACTTTGTATCATATTGAATGGTGTTTTTGAGTTTTCATATTCTAACTATTTAGTAGCTTTATAAATAATTTCAGATGTACTTTGTTGTTAAAGCCTATGTTGTTGTTAACAGTATTTATATGTGATAATTTTGTAAAAAGAAATCAGCAAAAACTCATGATCACTTTTTTATTGTCAGCCATTTTGAATTTTTCCGTCCTAAAATCTTGTCTGTGGAGTCTTGTCTACGTGTTTTCAGGTGAACCGTTCGGTGGATCAATTCTTGATTTTCAGGGATGATTCTTAGTATAAAAATCTAGATCTGATTAGTTTTTTGGCATTCTGGGTAAATGTCAAGGCAGCCATTTTGGATTTTCCGTCCTAAAATCTTGTCTGTAAAGTCTTGTCTACGCATTTTCAGGTGAACTGTTTGGTAGATCAATTTCAATTTTTCAGGGATGATCCTTAATATGAAAATGTACAACTGATTAGTTTTTACGGCATTCTGGGTAATTGTCAAGGCAGCCATTTTGGATTTTCCGTCCTAAAATATTGTCTGTAAAGTCTTGTCTACGCATTTCCAGGTGAACAGTTCTGTAGATTAATTTCAAATTTTCAGGGATAATTCTTAGTATGAAAATCTAGATCTGATTAGTATTTGAGCATTCTGGGTAAATGCCAAGGCAGCCATTTTGGATTTTCCGTCCTAAAATCTTGTCTGTAGAGTTTTGTCTACGCATTTCCCTGTGAACCGTTTGGTAGATCAATTTCAAATTTTCAGGGATGATTCTTAATATGAAAATCTAGATCTGATTAGTTTTTTGGCATTCTGGATAAATGCCAAGGCAGCCATTTTGGATTTTCCGTCTTAAAATCCTGCCCGTAAAGTCTTGTCTACGCGTTTTTAGGTGAACCGTTTTGTAGATCAATTTCAAATTTTCAGGGATGATTCTTAGTATGAAAATCTAGATCTGATTAGTTTTTTGGCATTCTAGGTAAATTTTAAGGTGGCCATTTTGGATTTTCCGTCATCAAATTGTGTCGGTAAAGTCTTGTCTACTCATTTTTAGGATAACCATTTGACAGGATCACCCATAGGTGGGGACATTTTGTACACATTTTTGTTCTTGTATTTCATTACAAATCAACCAAAATTTACTTTGTACAATTACAATATTGAGAGACCTAAACATGTTGTGTTTATGTCGTTTTGTTCCAATGAGGTTCAGAAAGATGTTTCATTTCACTCTGGAAACATGATACAAAGAACAAAACAAGTGTTTGATGTGTTTTCTAAAACAATATAGATGAAACTATATTTTTTTTTTCAATTATATTGTTACCATTCAAAAGATGACCATTAAATTGACAATGTGTAAAATGTTCAAAAGGTTCGCCATATCGATACCCATCTTTTCAGGATCAATATGAAAGGGAACCTTTAACCTTTCAATTAGTCAACACATGACTTGCCTAACGCATCAAAATATAAGTGCTCATTATTTTTCCAACACACTGTTTAAGTCCATGAGGTAAGATCTAATTTTAGGACATGGATATTGTATCCGGTATGAATGACCATATAATTTTTCAGAAAAAATTCTGTCCAATGTCCAATCCTTTACCAATAGATGTAGCAGTAACATCTCTTCTACAAATTCTTGGTAAGAAGAGGACAGTTTTTATTATTCATTTTTGAGAGAGGACATAGAACAACCCTTGCCTCTGACTGGTGAATGATATTGTGATTTGCCAAGGGACATTTCTGTGCAAAGCCTATTGAACAAATGTTACATTTAAACTTCTTTTCTCCAGTATGGATGAGATTGTGTTTTACTAAGTAAGATTTCTGTGCAAATGTTTTAGTACAAATGTCACATTCAAACTGCTTTTCTTCAGTATGAATGAGTTTGTGTTTTACTAAGGTAGATTTCTCTGCAAATGCTTTGGAACAAATGTCACATTCAAATTGCTTTTCTCCAGTATGGATGAGATTGTGCTTTACTCATTTTTCTCCAGCATGTATGAGATTGTGACCTGCTAAGTCAGATTTCCTTGTAAATGTCTTTGAACAAATGTCAAATTTAAACTTCTTTTCTCCATTGTGGATGAGATTGTGCCTTACTAAGTTAGATTTCCTTATAAATGTTTTTGAACAAATGTCACATTTAAACTTCCTTTCCCTCGTATGGACGATATTGTGTTTTATTAAGTTAGATTTCAAAGCAAATGTTTTTGAACAAATGTCACATTTAAACTGTTTTTCTCCGGTATGGATGAGGTTGTGACTTACTAAGGCAGATTTCCATGCAAATGTTTTAGAACAAATGTCACATTCAAACTGCTTTTCTCCAGTATGGATAAGATTGTGGCTTACTAAGTCAGATTTCCTTGTAAATGTCTTTGAACAAATATCACATTTAAACTTCTTTTCTCCTGTATGGATGAGATTGTGACTTGCTAAGGAAGATTTATGTGCAAATGCTTTTGAACAAATGTCACATTTAAACTTCTTTTCTCCTGTATGGATGAGATTGTGACTTGCTAAGGAAGATTTATGTGCAAATGCTTTTGAACAAATGTCACATTTAAACTTCCTTTCCCTCGTATGGACGATATTGTGTTTTATTAAGATAGATTTCCAAGCAAATGTTTTTGAACAAATGTCACATTTAAACTGTTTTTCCCCGGTATGGATGAGGTTGTGACTTACTAAGTTGCCCTTACGTGCAAATGTTTTTGAGCAAATGTCACATTTAAACTGCTTTTCTCCAGTATGGATAAGATTGTGGCTTACTAAGTAAGATTTCCAAGCAAATGTTTTTGAACAAATGTCACATTTAAACTGTTTTTCTCCGGTATGCATGAGGTTGTGACTTACTAAGTGGCCCTTATGTGCAAATGTTTTTGAGCAAATGTCACATTTAAACTGCTTTTCTCCAGTATGGATAAGATTGTGGCTTACTAAGGCAGATTTCCTTGCAAATGTTTTTGAACAAATGTCACATTTAAACTGTTTTTCTCCGGTATGGATGAGGTTGTGAGTAACTAAGTGGCCCTTATGTGCAAATGTTTTTGAGCAAATGTCACATTTAAACTGCTTTTCCCCAGTATGGATAAGATTGTGGCTTACTAAGGCAGATTTCCATGCAAATGTTTTACTACAAATGTCACATTTAAACTGCTTTTCTCCAGTATGAATGAGATTGTGGCTTACTAAGTGATATCTTCTTGCAAATGTTTTAGAACAAATGTCACATTTAAACTGCTTTTCTCCAGTATGAATGTGATTGTGTATTGCTATATCTGACTTCCTTGCAAATGTTTTAGAACAAATGTCACATTTAAACTGCTTTTCTCCAGTATGGATGAGATTGTGTGCCACTAAGTTGAATTTCCTTGCAAATGTTTTAGAACAAATGTCACATTTAAACTGCTTTTCTCCAGTATGAATGAGATTGTGGCTTACTAAGTGATATCTTCTTGCAAATGTTTTAGAACAAATGTCACATTTAAACTGCTTTTCTCCAGTATGAATGTGATTGTGTATTGCTATATCTGACTTCCTTGCAAATGTTTTAGAACAAATGTCACATTTAAACTGCTTTTCTCCAGTATGGATGAGGTTGTGACTTACTAAGTTGCCCTTACGTGCAAATGTTTTAGAACAAATGTCACATTTAAACTGCTTTTTTCCAGTATGAATGAGATTGTGTGTTACCAATGTAGCTTTCTGTGCAAATTCTTTAAAACAAATGTCACATTTAAACTGCTTAATTCCAGTATGAATGAGATTGTGAGATACTAAATGAGATTTATGTACAAATGTTTTAGAACAAATGTCACATTTAAATTTCTTTTCACCAGTATGGATGAGATTGTGAATTCCTATATCTGACTTCCTTGCAAATGCTTTAGAACAAATATTGCATTTAAATTTCTTTTCTCCAGTATGGATGATATTGTGACTTACTAAGGCAGATCTCCATGCAAACGTCTTAGAACAAATGTCACATTTAAATTGTTTTTCTCCAGAATGGATGTGATTGTGTCTTGTTAAGTCAGATTTCCTTGTAAATGTCTTTGAACAAATATCACATTTAAACTTCTTTTCTCCTGTATGGATGAGATTGTGACTTGCTAAGGAAGATTTATGTGCAAATGCTTTTGAACAAATTTCACACTTAAACTCCTTTTCTCCAGTATGGATGAGATTGTGTTTTACTAAGTGAGATTTTGTTGCAAATTGTTTAGAACAAATGTTGCATTTAAACTTCTTCTCTCCAGTATGCCTGAGACTGTGACTTGCTAAGTGATATCTTCTTGCAAATGTTTTAGAACAAATGTCACATTTAAATTGTTTTTCTCCAGTATGGATGAGATTGTGATTTACTAAGGCAGATTTCCATGTAAACGTTTTAGAGCAAGTGTCACATTTAAACTTCCTTTCTCTTGTATGGACAATATTGTGTTTTACTAAGTTAGATTTTCTTGCAAATGTTTTACTACAAATGTCACATTTAAACTGTTTTTCTCTGGTATGGATGAGGTTGTGGCTTACTAAGTTAGATTTTCTTGCAAATGTTTTACTACAAATGTCACATTTAAATTGCTTTTCTCCAGTATGAATGAGATTGTGGCTTACTAAGTTAGATTTTCCTGTAAATGTTTTACTACAAATGTCACATTTAAATTGCTTTTCTCCAGTATGTATGAGATTGTGCTTCTTTAAATAATATTTATGCGCAAATGTTTTAGAACAAATGTCACATTTAAACTGCTTTTCTCCAGTATGGATGAGATTGTGTAACCCTAGGTTGAATTTCCTTGCAAATGTTTTGTAACAAATGTCACATTTAAACTGCTTTACTGCAGTTTGGATGAGATTGTGATTAGACATTATACATGTATCTGTACTCATGCAGATTCATTTAAAATCTCATTGAACAGGAACAATATTTTTTCAGTATATTTGGGGTAATTCAGCCTGGTATATGATGCTTGTAATTTAGGATTATAGGTATCTGTGACCTGAATGTGTAGGGTTATATATAAATGATGATAACGCAATGTCAGTATGTAACCTGTAACCATAAATGTGTTTCATTAATTATAAATAATAATTCTGCACCCAATATATGATTTATATGATTGGTAATTCAGCAATGTGCTGAATATCTAGCATATTACCACAATATGCTTAGTGTTATCATTGGTAATTCAGTGGTTATATTGTTAACACTGTCAATATCGATGATATAGCTTCATTTTGGTTAAAGTTTATACATTGATGCTGATTCAACATCTAGTATGCACTATTCAGCCTCAATATGTTTGAGATTAAGTCGTATTTCAGCACTTTAGTGAATGTTTTGCATTTAACCTCAATATGCTCTAGTTTATATAATTCAATATGCTTTGGATTATATATAAATGGTAATTCAGCACTGTCTAAATTTAGTATATAGCCTCAGTATGCTTGTGGTTGGATGTAATTCAAGAATATCAATGTCTAGTATACGTAGAATAGTTTCTATATGTTTAGGATTATATCACAGGAACTTGACAGCTGACATCCACAGTGGCCGACCTGCAAGAACAAGGGAAAAATCAATACCTGGTGATTTCACGATTAGTTTCGTTTCGTTTAGTAGATGAGCTGCATGCACACGCATATATAGAGGATATCCTATTATTTTTGAGGGATACTAATTTTATCCATGAGTGGATATCACTCATCTCCACGAGTGAGCGCAGCGAATGAGTGGAGATCGGCGATATCCAAGAGTGGATAAAAATGATAGCCTAGAAAATCATAAGATATCATATTTATCCGATGGTCGCTATTTTTGTATGGACTTCAAATAATTTAACCTAAAGTTGTTGTTTTCTATTTTTATTCTATAGTCAAAACAGTAATGTTTGAGAGTACTTTGAATTTAAAAAATAAGCAATCAAATAACCAAATTGAAACAATTTATCTAAAAATAGAAACATTTATATTTATCCTAACTTTTGTATATTTTAGTTTGTTTTCTAGTTTAGCTATCATATCTGTGTCCTTTTATATTATGATACTTCTCTGCCATGTTATTTTCGGAAAAATTAACATGGCTGAAACTCCCTAAATTACAAAGGCCACAGCTTTACTTCACATTTTACATTACTATCTGAAATATACAAAAGTTAGGATAAATATAAATGTTTCTATTTTTACATAAGCTGTTTCAATATGGTCATTTGATTGCTTATTTTTTTAATTGACTGTATTTTTTCATTTTTTTCTATGACCTTATTTTTATAAAATGATTGGATGAAAAAATGTAACTCAGTTTTACTGATCATATAAACTTGTAACTTTTCAATTTTTTCCAAATATTTTTTCAATTTTTTTTTCATTTTCTTTATTTCTATAATTTCATTTTCAAATTTTTTTCTGAATTAATTTTCAATTTTTTTTTTCAAAATTTTTTTCAATTTTTTCAAAACTTTTTTTTCAATTTCTTTTTCAAAAGTTCAAATTTCTTCAATCTTTTCAAAATATTTTTAAAATATTATCTGTCGGATACGATTGGATATCACGTCATATGGATCAGATACGATTTTAGTGGCGCATACGAAAATTATCTGTGTTGGTATCCCCATATATATTTAGTATCCATCGGATAAATAGAGATTATCCTATATGACCAATTGGCCAATATAATATATTTTCCCTCGGGACCTGCGGCCCTCGGGCAAATATATTATATTTGCCTCGGGATAATCACAATATCCTGAACCGACTATAGGATAATATGTTTATCCCATACCAATCTTGGTCATCTGGTTCACATTGTTCAGTCGTGGAAATATTTTAGAATATTCATGTCCAGTTTTGTTTTCTTGGCCGTGGGCAGATTTTCCTGTTCTCTCAAATATTCCCATATTTATTTTCTTGAATTTTTGATTGATTAAGTGGATGTTCCTTCCTTTTTTAAACCATCAAACAGATCCCGATTGTCTTTGTTTTCTCCATTGTCATTTACAGTCATTACACAAACGTTACAAATTGTGAACAAATATGCGAGCAACGATTATGACGTAGCGGGCAGATATACTATATCTGCCCGCTCAAAGCGGGACGTAAAGCTATATCTGCCCGCTGATAAAAATATGTAGAGATTATCCTATATGAGGTTCAGGATATTGGGATTATCCCGAGGCCAATATAATATATTTGCCCGAGGGCCGCAGGTCCCGAGGGAAAATATATTATATTGGCCAAGGGATACTCCCAATATCCTGAACCGACTATAGGATAATATGTTTATCCCATACCAATCTTGGTCATCTGGTTCACATTGTTCAATCGTGGAAATATTTTAGAATATTCATGTCCATTTTTGTTGTCTTGGCCGTGGGCGGATTTTCCTGTTCTCTCAAATATTCCCATATTTATTTTCTCGAATTTTTGATTGATTAAGTGGATGCTCTTTCCCTTTTTTAAACCATCAAACAGATCCCGATTGTCTGTGTTTTCTCCATTGTAGTTTACAGTCATTACGCGAACGTTACAAATTATGAACAAGTATGCGAGCGGCGATTATGACGTAGCGGGAAGATATACTATATCTGCCAGCTCGGAGCTGGAACACATAGATACTCAAATGATGTTGATTGAACATCAGGCTGCAGAGAAATCGTAATTTTACTGAGTGGCTTCACGAAAAAATAAGCAGCACTTTAGGCCACCTTAGTAGGCTATATGGCAACATTTGCAGAGCTGTCAAGTGTCCCGCGAATGGCGGGATTATCCCGCGAATTTGATCAAAATTAGGCTAATTCGCGTGTCCCGCAATGTCCCGCGAAGTCCCGCAAATGTGGCTTTAACCTCCGCGAATTTCCGAAATTGTTGCAATCCCCTATATTGTGATTATCTTATCTTATATAAGAAGCTAAGTTTTTTGCACTTTTGAGGAGTAAAGTTTACCTTGTTGTAAGTACCTAGCATGCTGTTGTTTGGTATCAAAATAAAGAGGAAGGGTTCAACTTTCATTTTAATTACGAAAATAGGGATGTAGGTCACAAACAGTCCCAACGTTGGCCTTTTTACTACCCGTGTGGCTTTTTACTACCCGTGTGGCCTTCATCTCAGAACTGAGCAAATGTTAGCAAACGCGAGTTACAATAAATGGACGCTGATATGTAGAAAGGGTTTGTAGAAAAAAACGGGTACCGGGTTGTAAATCCTCCATGCTGGGTTCAAACTTGGTACCCGGGCAAAAAAACGGGTACCCAAAAAACGAAAAATACGAATATATAACATAATAAGATTCTGAGAAAACGTGTAAGATTTGTTTTGAATTCACAAAAATGTATGTAACATCCTTCAAAATTGAGCTAGAAGCTTCAAATAAAAAGCATAGTTTAAGGCTCTTTTCTTCCTCTATCGTCATGGCCATATTTTCATTGGTTATGGGGGGGGGGGTGCATCATCGCAACCTCTCCTGGCTACGCCTATGACATTGTAAGACATAACAATTTACAATTCAGTGGACATTTTGTCGAAAATTGGGATAACTTAAATTATGATTAATAATCAAAATCATGTAAATTAACACACGTCACCTCTCTGCTAAAGCAACGATAGCTATTTACAGATTTAAATCATAATCAAAACAATTCACGTACCAACATACGAACTATTGAAAATAGAGTAAGATTGATTTGTCTTGTTTTTCAAATCGTCTTACAATGTCATTGGCGTAGCCAGGAGGGGGTACGATCGCACCCCCCCCCCTCCCCCTTCATTACCAATGGAAATATGACCATGATGATAAAGGAAGAAAAGAGCCTTAAAATGCTTTTCATTTGAAGCTTCTAGCGCAATTTTGAAGGAAGTTACATACATTTTTGTAAATTCAAAACAAATCTTACACGTTTTCTAATGATCTAATTATGTTGTATATTCGTGTATTTCGTTTTTTGGGTACCCGGTTTTTTCGACCGGGTACCAAGTTTGAACCCAGCATGGAGGATTTACTACCCGGTACCCGGTTTTTTCTACAAACCCTATCTAGAAAAGTAACCTCATTCCCTATAATTTGATGTAGATTAATCGAACCCCTATATCATGGGCCATGCCTACAGTATATGAATAGGTACATTTTAATATATAACATTATGGGGGTAAGCGTTTCATAGTTGGTCACGACGCCATAAGTGCAAAGTATTGTTCCGAATTTTTGAATTTCGTGTTAGATTACGGTACTCACACCTGAAGCATGGTTTTTGTTTTTGATAAATT